CAGTGCTTTGGGAATTTACGCCCGACGTACATGCACGTATGAGCCGTATGACGTTTTTGTCTTTAGAGAAGCCTCCGTGCTGAGGTCAGTAGTGGCTGTACCAGTTTATAGCCTATACAGCCAGCAGTGTAAAAGGCAAGCTTCTCTTTCCAGCACCCTCACCTTCACGTGTATGACATAGCACACATGCACATGTACCCCAAGACCTTAATGTAAGACCTGAAATCCTCAAACTGCTAGAGGAAAATATAAAAACTTCACGATAGAAGCTTTCTGAAAAGAATTCCAATAGCATGGGACATTAATCCCAAGAACTGGCAAATGGGTGATAGTCTACATAATGGGGGGATCTTTGTTGCCATTTTATTTCTTATGCAGTGGTGTTTTGCCTGCATGTATGTTTGTGTTACGGAGTCAGGTACCCTGGAACTGGAATTACAGACAGTTGTGAGCTGCCACATGGATGCTGGGAAATGAACCCAGGTCCTCTGGAAGAGCAGCCAGTGCTCTTAACTGCTCAGCCATTTCTCCAGCTGTTAGTATTTTTTTTCCTTGATAGCTGTTTTGAGTGGGGTGAGGTGGAATCTCGTGTGGATCATATGATGTGTGTGAGAGTATTGGTGCACGCATGCCCTGTACATGTGGAAGTTGTAGGACAGCCTCCCGGCGGTCCTCATCTTCCACCTGTTTTGAGGTAGGGTCTTCTGTTGTCCACACTACCTGACAAACTAGCTTGCCCATGAGCTTTAGGGAGTCCCTTGTCTACATGTCCAGTCTCTAGCACTGAGATTACAAACTGCTTCCGTGGCGTTAGTCAGTCTCAGGATCAGACTCAGGTTCTCATGCTGGTGTGGCAAGCATCTTGCTCCTGAGCCGTCTTCCTAGCTCCTCAAATCACTCCGTTCGCATTTCTGGTGGCTAAGCATGCTCACTTCCTCAAGAACTATTTTGAGAACTGTGCAGTTCACTTACCCATTTTTTTTAAAGTTCTTCATATATTCTATACATCCTTGTGTGACTCATCACTTTGGCAAAGATTTTTTTCCCCATTGTATAGATTATCACCTGTTTGCCAGCTCTTGGGACTCATGTCCTGTACCATTGGAATCTTTCTCAGAAAGCTTCTATCGTGAAGTGTTTATATTTTCCTCTAGCGGTTTGAGGATTTCAGGTCTTACATTAAGGTCTTAGTGTACATGTGCGTGTGTGCCATGTCATACACATGGAAGCCAAAGGACAACTTTGTGGGAATCTTCTCCTCCCATAATATGGATCCCAAGTGTCCAACTCAGGTCACCAGGGTTAGTAGCAAGTGTCTTTACCCTCTGAGCTGGAAGCAGCTGGTCCATTGTGTCGGCAGTCAGGAAAAAGAGTGATGGATGCTGCTGCTCAGTTGATTTCCTTTTCCAGGACCCTAGCCCAGGGAATGGGGCCACCTTAGGGAGAGCCTTCTACCTCAGTTAACGCAGCGAAGATAATCCCTCACAGGCGTGTCCAGTACTGACCTAAAGTGTGTTATAGACCTGCCGGAGGCTTGTTTCTATGTGATTCCAAGTTCCATTAGGTTGACAGTGTTAGCCATCACATCCTCCACCCTGACATTCTTCTGTTCAGTTGAGTTAATTGACAATGCTTTCCACTGTTTTATATTTGGTTCAATGAAGTTTTTCATTATCAGCATACCTGCTTGTGTTTGTGTTTTGTCCCACCCCTGAATGTGAATTTCCTTGCTCATTATTTCAAGTCATTGATCACTTTTACCACTGAACTCTTGAAATCTTCATCCTGGCATTTTACCTATTTCATTATCTTTTGTTTGTTTTTGTTGTTGTTCATTTGTTTTTTGAGACAGGGTTTCTCTGTATATCCTTATCTGTCCTTGAACTCACTCTGTAGACCAGGCTGGCCTCAAACTCAGAGATCCACCTGTCTCTGCCTTCCAAGTGCTGAGATTAAAGGTGTGCACCACCACACCTGGCTGTCTTTAAAAAAATAATAATAAAGTAAAACTTTATTGTAAAGAACAAATGTTGCAGAGGATGTAGAGAAAGGAACTCGTACTTCTGGTAGGGTACAACTTAATATAGCCATTATGGAATCAGTCTAGAGTTTCCTCAAAAAATTAAAACTAGAATTACCTTGTAACCAAACTGTTCCACGCCTGGCCATGTACTCTGTAAAGAGATTTGCATCCTTGTGTTTATTACCACTTTACTCATATCAGGGAAATGGAAACAATCTAGTTGTTAGAATTCCTAGCCATTCCCCCAGCTGCATGACTGAATGTGCTGTCTAGTAGCCAGTCAAGATGCTTAGTCATCCTAGGACCTTATGTCCTACGTAATCCATGTGCAGCATGATCACGTAATCTATGTGCATGTGTGGCATAACTAGGTAAACCCATATGCGAATGTGCGGGGATGGGGGGTGGGCTATAAAAGCGGGTTCCACTTATTCCTTCTCTCTCTTCCCGCACAGTCATTCCCTAGGCCTATTCACACCCTTTCTATTCCCTTCCCTTAATAAACTCCTTTTTTTTTTTTTAAAGATTTATTTATTATGTATACAGTGTTCTGCCTGCATGTGTCCCTGCAGGCCAGAAGAGGGCACCAGGTCTCATTACAGGTGATTGTGAGCCACCATGTGGTTGCTGGGAATTGAACTTAGGACCTTTGGAAGAGCAGTCGGTGCTCTTAACCACTGAGACATCTCTCCAGTCCCCCTTAATAAACTCTTAGAGTGGGTTTTGTTGTGCCTCATGGCTTCTCTCACACAGTAAACAGTGCCAATTAATAAATAACAAGATGACTGGAACATACACAAAATGGAATACTGTTCAGCTCTAAAAAATGTCACAAAATGTATTCAGTAGACCTAGAATGTATAATAAGGTCACACAACCTCAGGAAAAAACATGGTCTCCCTTGTATGTGCCTATAATATCTACATGTATGTATGTAAACAAATGTGAACATGGGTACAGTCTAACATGTAGAAAGGAGAACAAGAAATAACTGGTGAGAGGATATAAAGATAATAGTTTAGTTTGAACTGCTGTGGGTTTGGGGAATTTTGTGTGTGGTGGTCAAATTCATAAAAGTGTAACTGAGTGAAAGTATAGAATTGAGTGTGATACTCTGTGGCTTCAGAACGGCTGTTGTAACCGTCTAGAGAAGTTCACTGAGATGACTAGCCTGGGTCTGGCTAAGCCTGTTGTGTGGTTTTGCTTGGGAATGTCTTCAGTTCCATTGCAGATCTTAAGAGGACTACTTTCGAAGGCTCAGCCCTCAGTACCACTCAGTGGGAAGAAAACACTTGTGTAACTACAGCAGCATCAAATCATACAAGATCTAAAATACAATCAGATCAGTTAAGCTCCTTATTACATCACCAGGGACCATAAAACAAAATGGTAAAATGACTGTGGGACGGACTATGAAGTTCAGAACTGTTGAAGGAAGTGTGGAGATGGGGAATGAATGAAATGAAGGAATTGTGGAGATGGGGAATGAATGAAATGAAGGAATTGTGGAGATGGGGAATGAATGAAATGAAGCAAGTGTGGAGACGGGGAATGAATGAAATGAAGGAATTGTGGAGATGAATGAATGAAATGAAGGAAGTGGGCAGGGAAGGGAATGAATGAAATGAAGGAATTGTGGAGATGGGGAATGAGTGAAATGAGGGAAGTGGGCAGGGAAGGGAATGAATGAAATGAAGGAAGCAGGCAAGGAAGGGAATGAATGAAATAAGGGAAGCAGGCAAGGAAGGGAATGAATGAAATAAGGGAAGCAGGCAAGGAAGGGAATGAATGAAATGAAGGAAGCAGGCAGGAAAGGGAATGAATGAACTAAGGGAAGCAGGCAGGGAAGGGAATGAATGAAATGAAGGAAGCAGGCAGGGAAGGGATGAATTGAAGCAGAGTGAGTAAATGCTCTGAAATGCAGTGAAGGAAGTGTTGGGGAGGGAAAAGAGCAAGAGATGAGAATAAGAAAAGCATCAGGTTTCCCAGTGGGGAAGCTGAGCAAAATTAGATCAGTCTGAGAAGAGGAATAAGAAAATGAAAACTTTCCTGGGGTTCAGCACCAAAACAAAACAAAAAACAAAAGAAAAAAAAGAAAAAAGGAAAAAAAAAAAGAAAAACTTGCATTTTTTTTGTTTTTGTTTTTTAAAAAAGTCAAAATGTAGAGGAGCAAGGGAAGGGAGCTAAGAAAAAAGTACTTCCAATAAGAAAACATACAAGCAAAATTAGACAAAAACCCAAAGAACAACAACAAAATGTAAAGCAATAAAGTAAAAATGTTGAAAGTAGTAAAAGGGACTGGGGAGATGCTCAGCAGGTGAGGGTGCTTGCTGCCAACCCTCACATCCTGAGTTCAATCCCTTCAGTAGAGAAGGGAACCGACTCTAGAAAGTTGTCTTCCAACTTCCACATGGATGCTATGGCGCATGCGCACAAATAGAACTGTACTGAAAGCGGGGCACAAGGGTAAGACGTACTGGAACAGCGTCCTCCTGTTCTTTGACCTGCAGGGGACAGGCTTGGCCTCAGCAGTCTCAGATCAGGACAAGATGGTGCCTGGCTGCTGCCTTTAGTCCACAGCTGCTCATCTGCCAGCGAAATTAGGCTGGTCTACCACATTCTGCAACTTGTCTGTGCTCTGGGCGCTGTGGGCTTGTCCTGAAGCGAGGACGGCACATCTCTCCTCGCTCACTGCGATAGCAGCTGCTTCCCCTCCCCAGTCAGAGAGCCAGAACCTGTTGGCCTTGCCCACCCCAGCAGACATATTTTGGTCCTTGCTTATTTTGCCGTTACATGGATGGAGTGTTGTGTGTGGGGATGCTCATTCCATCAGAGGACAACTTGTAGGGAGTTGGTTCTTTCCGTCCATGGTGTGGGCAGGTGTGCGGGAAATACCTCGGAGCCATCCCCTGGTTTGGCTCGGGCATTGCTCCCCTTTCTGTCTGCACTGTACACAACTATTCTTTCACTTCCGTCGTGGACTCCAAAGCTCTTCCCCTCTGTCTTTAGAACACGGTCTATTTTTCCTTATTCGGATCCTCCACTCACAAGCTCACACAGGCAGCTTCTAGCCCTCACGCTTGGAAGTTTCTCGGGTGGCAGAACCGTGGTCGCCGCAGGGTTTCTAGGCAGTCGAGCAAATACGCTGAAATCGATAGGTGAGCGATTCTTCATACGAACTTCAGGTTGGTTCCTCTTGTCTGGCCCAGGAGGCTCTAACCCCAGTCTCCTGCCTCGGCCTCCTAAGAGCTGGGATCATGACATGTGCCGCCTCCCTCAGCCAAACAAGTTTAGTAGTGTGTTCTACGTGGGTACTGCAAGATGAGCACGGCCTGCCCTGTGTTTGTTTCTGTTCCGTGGCGCTGGGGATCAAAGCATGCTACCACTGAGCTGCACCCCCAACCCCAGAGCCCATTTCAAATCCTGCTAAAGGTGGTATTAAAGGTGGGCAAAAGTCAACCAGAAAGTTCAGTTCCTGGGCTGGCAGGATGGCTCAGTGGGTAAAGGCATCCGCCGCCAAGCCTGACACTTGGTGGAGAGGAAGAATGATCCTGGCGAGCTGTCCTCTGACCTCTGCGTGTGTGTCCAGCTTCTGCTCCCGCAAGCATGCCCAATGCACACTGAGTAAATAAATGATAATAAAGTTTTTACAGTCCCAGTTCTGTGGAGACGGAGACTTCATTAAACTGTACTGTGGAAGTCAGCCCCTGGGGGCTGCTTTTCAGCTCCAATGCTCCTTTCTAAATTTGTGCCCTTTTGGTAATATTTTCAGTAGTGGACTGCTTTAGCACTGTGAACATGCTTGAGTTTGAAATTCCTTAAGCCGGCTCTAGTAAAGAAAATACTGGGCAGTAGAGGGAGTTGTAGCTGTGGGACTGCTGATAACAGACAAGCTCTTTGAGAGCAGAGCTAAAGCCTTCCCTGCAGTTTTCTTGGCACCAGAATAGCTGGGGAGAGGATAAAAGCTGCAGCAGTATAATCCCTAAGAAAACCTGCTGGCTGCCTGTTCCATTTCCCTGTGTGGCCTTTCTGACCTGGTTGCCTTGTGTAAGCAAAGCTGTGCCTGCTGTGGCTTATTCTGAATGGATCAAGACGTGGAAGGTTCTATTTTTGACAGAGCAAACGATGATCTAGTGAGGAATAGGTGCTCTTACAATTGAGCTCTGTATTTAGAAATCCTTGCCTGCTCCCCGCCCGGTGGAGCCTGTGGTGTTTGCCTTTTAACTCGGACTTTTCCGCAGTCTGTAGCTCCTTTCTTCTAGCTGGAATCTGTATGGCGGAGGGCGTTGCTCTGGCTTCATTAAGGTTACTGAACTACTGGGGAGCAGCTCATGTTGGCAGCCCTTGGTATGTGAGCAATTATTTCTCTGGAATGGCTGTTTGTTTCGGAGAGGGTCTTGCTAGCCACCCACTAAGTCTTGTAACATTCTTGAAGAGGGGGATGGGAGGAGCTGGAGAGTCGGGCTCTGAAAGAAAATCAGGTATGCGCCTAATATCCTAGCAATAGCAGGTCGGGGGAAGGAAAAGTGAAAATCTTAAGACTACGTGTTTGTGGGTGCCAGCTCTTGTCCTAGCTCGCTTGTCAGAAGTTTCAGGGTTAGGGGAAAGGACTGGTCTTGTTTGGTATTACGGGTCAAGATGGGCAAATCTAACAGCTTCTCCTGGTAACTGGATGGCTTAGCGGCATTTCCTAACTGATGTCCCCCTACATGATAAACACACCTACTCATGTGTGTCCTTCTGAAGAAATGCTTGGGAATACTTTTCCTAAAACAGCAAGAGAACTTATGTCTATTTGTGCTTAGAATTTAATTTTAACTGAAACACTTGACTCTAAGTTGATCTCTGAGTTCGAGGCCAGCCTGATGTCTACATAGCAAGTGAGGGACACACAGTGAGACCCCGTCTTAAAAAGAAGCAAACGGGCTGCCATCCTCTTGCAGTGCCCTTGTTTGGATCTGGTGTCATTGGTACTAGCCTTGCCAAGAGTGGGCTGCACTTGGATTAGATTTTTTTTTTAAAGAGTGAGAAGAGTTGTCTTGGTCACTTCAGCCGTGAAGCCATTAAGTCTGGAACTTTCCTTGGTAGGAGTGTGTGTGTGTGTGTGTGTGTGTGTGTGTGTGTGTGTGTGTGTGTGTGACTATAGGCTCAATTCATTACCTTATACACACTCAGCAAGCACTCTACTGCACTGCACTGTATTCCAGACCTATAAAGGACTATTACTGACTGAATTTCTTTATTGACTACTGGTCTGTTTCAAATTTCCCTCTTCTTCTCCCTCTCCCCGCTGCTGACACCTCTGCTACTGAACTACACCCTCAGTTCGGAGTTTTCTATTTCTTCCCGATTCAGTCTTGGTAGGAGTGTATGCATTTCTTACAGGTCATCTAACTTGTTGGTGACAGGATATCTATATGTAGCACACGCTGGCCCCGAACTCATGTTCATCCCACTTCACCGTCAAGAATGTGTCATCCTGTTCAGCTTTCAAAAAGCACCTCCTGAATCCAGAAGATGGTGCAGTGGGTAAAGGTGCTTACCATACAAGCCTGGAGACCTGAGTTCAAGCCCCAGAACCCATGTAAAGTGACAGAGAGAGCAGGCTCCATGAAGCTGTCCTCAGACCTCCACACATGTGCCCTGGCCATCCAGGTCCATATGCACACTTGCACACTTACACACACACACACACACACACACACCAACAACTCTTAATTTCATTTATATTTTTCTAATTTCTATCTCATCTTTATTGTTTCTTTTTTCTGTCTTCGGGCTTAGTTCTTTTTCTAGTTCCTTGAGGAGTGATATTTCTTTAGTTGACATCTGTATAAGGTGATGAGCATGTAAAAAACTGCTTTTGCTGTAGCTCATAAATTTTGCTATGTTATGTTTCTGCTTTAGTTTGTCTTGTTATTCTTGTGTTTGTGTGTGTGTGTGTGTGTGTGTGTGTGTGTGTGTGTGTGTGTCCATGCCCATGCGCATGAAGGCCAGAGGAGGATGTCCAGTGTCCTGCCTTATGCCTTTGAGACAGGGTCTCTGACTGAACCTTTCTTGGTTTGTCCATGGTAACTATGGCCGCTCCTGCTCTCTGGGTTTCCATTTGTGTGGAATATCTTTTTCATTCTTCCACTCTTAGCCTGTGTGCGACTCTCTTCCAGGTAGCGTACAGTTGGGTTTTTATTTGTTTGTTAATATAGCCATCCTGTGTTTTTGGAGAATTGAATCCATTTACATGCCAGGTTAATTATTGATAGGTAGGAACTTACATCAGGTAGGCAGGATGGCTCAGCAGGTTGAGCACAAACCTGACAACATGAGTTCTGACCCATTAGCCCCTGTGAAGGCGGGATGTGGTGATGTCTGTACCTCAGCATTCCTAGGACAAGATGGGAGATGGGAACAGGAGAATCCTCTGGAAGCTCGACAACCACAGTGGCAACCAAGAGAGATGCTGCCTCAAACACGTTGGAAGAGAAGGACCAAGATCTGAAGATGCCCCTGACTTCCACATGCACACCGTGGTCTGTGCACACCCTTACACATGAACACGTGACCAAAATAAATATTAATAAAATAAACCTTATGGCTGTCA